GCACTGTGGAGGCAGAGACAGGAGGAGGATCCTTGGGCATTACTGGCTAACCAGTGAAATCTGATCAGTAAGGTGGTGAGCTCTAAGTCAATAACTATGTCTCAAAAGAGGTGGATGGCATTTCTGTGGATGACACCCAAAGCTGTCCTTTAGCCTCCACAAGCATGTACACCCACATAAACACACACATACACACATAGGCATTAAAAAAACTGAAGGGCTCCTTGACTGATAAAGAAAATCAGGAAGAAATAAAGTTAAGAGAGTAAAGTCCCCACCAAAACAATGTCAAAAATATTTCTAGAAAAATTGGGAGGCTGGAGATGTAGCTCAATTGGTAGAGTGCTGGTCAAGCAAGTGTTAGGCCTCGGAATCAATTCCCAAACCACATAAACTGAGGTGGTGGCACACAGGCCTGTAACCCCAGTCTTCCAGAGGTAGAAGAAGGGAGATCAGGAGTTCAAGGTCAGCTCAGCTTGTTCCTGATCAACCTCAACTATATGAGACCTCCTATCTTGAAATAACAAAAAGTTAGTTCTAGGGTCTGGAGATGGATCAGCAGTTAACAGCACTTGCTGCTCTTCCAGAAGACCTGAATTTGGTTCCCAGCACCCACATAAGGCAGTTCATAAATGCCTATAACTCCAGTTCCAGGGGATCTGGTACCTTCCTCTGGCCTCCTCAGGCATCCACCACACATACATATATCTTTTAAGAAAAAAAAAAATAGATTCAGACAGACAGACAGACACACTGGTCAGAATTTAAATGGGGTAAAACAGAAAATAAGAAAAGGCCAGGTGTAGTGGCTCACACTACAATTCCATCACCCAGGAGTCAGAAACTGACAAACTGCACAAAGAAGCTGAGTACAGTGGCATAGACATGTAATCCCTGCACTTGGAAGGCGATGGAAGAAGGGAGTAGTAGTTCAATAGTCAGTGAGGCCTTGTCTCAAAACAATAAAGAAAACAAAACAAAATGCTCAAAACCATTTGGTAAAGAGCTTCTTCCTTCTTTCAAGTGTATTACTTTCTTAAAATACTTAATTTTAAAAAATATTTTATTTATTATTTTTATTTTATGTGTATGAATGTATTGCCTGCATGTATGTGAATGCACCCATGTCATGCATTGCCACAGAGGTCAAAAGAGGGCTTCAGATTCCCCTGGAACTGCAGTTAAGGGCAGTTCGCAGCTGCCATGTGGGTGCTGGGAATCAAACCCGGGTCCTCTGCAAGAGCAGTCAGTGCTCTTAACCACTGAGCCATCCCTCCAGTCCAAAAAATACTTAATTTTTAAAAAATCTTTTAATTAAAATGAAACATAATACTTCTTAAGAAAGGAATGGGGGGTTAGACAGATGGCTCAGCAGTTAAGAGCACTGGCTGTTCTTGCAGAAAACCCAGGTTTGAATCCCAGCACCCACATGGTGCCTAACACCCATCCTTAACTCCAGTTAAGGGGATCCAACACCCTCTTCTTTCCTCCACAGGCACTGCACAACACGGGTACACTTACATACATGCAGGCATAACACTCACACACAAAATAAAAATAAATAAATAAATAAATTTATTTTTTAAAAATAAAAAGGAATGAGGATACATAGAATGTGACAATTCCAAAAACACTGTGTGTGACTCACTGTTAGATAACAAATCTAGAATACTAAAAAAGACAAATTTTGGGGGCTGGAGAGATGGCTCAGTGGTTAAGAGCACTGACTGCTCTTGCAGAGGACCCGGGTTCAATTCCCAGCACCCACATGGTGGCTACGAACCATCCTTAACTCCAGTTCCAGGGGAGTCCGACGCCCTCTTCTGACCTCCTTGGCATTGCACAACTCAGGTGCATTCACAGAAATGCAGGCAATACACTCATACACATGAAATGAAAATAATAAATAAAATATTTAAAAAAAGACAAATTTTGACACACAAATATAATTTCTTAAATGTTTTATTTCATTTATTAGAAGGAATAGAAAAAAATACATTTTTTAGTTTTGTTAATAAAAGGCTAATGTACCTAAGGAAAAAAATTAGTAATCCATTGCATCTATTTTTTAAGTTTTTTTTTTTTAAATTTTAAATTTAAATGAATGTTTTGCCTGAAAGTATGTTAAATGTACCTATGTCATGCAATGCACTCAGAGACCAGAAAAAGGCATTGGATCCCCTGGAACTGGAGTTAAGGATGGCTGTTAGACACCCTGTGGATGCTGGAAACCAAATCCAGGTCCTCTGGAAAAGCAGTAAGTGCTCTTAACCACTGAGCCATTTCTCCTGTCCTGATTGTCTCTAGTTTTTTGTGGAAAAACAACAGTATCTCCCCTGAATGTGAGACAGGTTAGTTTTATATCAAAAATATGATATCAAGGATAAAGCAATTCTTCTTTTAATTTCATTCCTATCATAGAAACATATTACTCATGTCTAGAGATATTTTTTCAGGTCAAAAGAAAATTTTCTGTTGAAAATGTGGCACTTAAGAAAAAAAATCATTAAAATAATGAAGTATTAATTGGTTCCCTACGTCTTTATTGGGTGATTATAATTTCTGATCAATTTAGTATTAAAATATTATCTTCAGAACACGGCCTTTTAGTCCCATCACTCAGGAGGCAGAGGCAGGCAAATCTTTGTGAGTTCAAGGCGAGCCTACATAGTGAGTTCCAGGCCAGCTGGGACTACAGGGAAACCCTGTCTCAAAAAGATTTAAAAAAAAAAAAAAAAAAAAAAAAAAAAAATTTCTTCAATAACCAATTTTTTTTGCTGTTTTTTTGTTTTGTTATGTAGACCAGGCTGGCCTTGAACTCACAAAGATCTGCCCGGCTCTGCCTCCTGAGTGCTGGGATTAAAGGGGTACGCTTTTAACTGCTGAGCCATCTCTCCAACCTTTCATTCCTTTCTTAAGAAGTATTGCTTCATTTTAATTAAAAGATTTTTTTTTAATTAAATATTTTTTGGACTGGAGAGATGGCTCAGCAGCTAAGAGCAGTGACTGCTCTTGCAGAGGACCTGGGTTCAATTCCCATCACTCACATGGCAGCTGCAAACCATCCTTAACTCCAGTTCCAGTACACCTGGCAATAGCCAAATTTTTAATGAGTATGGTAGCTCACATTTATATTCTCAACACTTGGGAGGCTGATGCAGGACTGCTCTGAGTTCGAGGCCAGCCTGGGCTATGCAGTGAGACCATCTCAAGAAAACAAAAGAAAATAGCCAAATTTTCTTCTTTGAATAGATGTTCACCTCTTTAAAATGTACCAAAAGCTTGTCATTGCCACAAGACTGTTCTCCAGATGAGTGCTAGCCACAGTAGCATGATTCCAATGTGCACAGTTGAGTCCATCACAAGGTCCCTAAGTGCTTAAACTTCCATAGAAGAACCTATAGCAGAATCATAGAAATCATTGACTCCTTAATTAACCAAGGGAAGCTACACAACTCTATGTATCATCAAGTCTAAAAACTCAAAGATATGACACATAGCTCATTGTTTCACTCGTTAGCTTCTGTAACCAAATACCCATTGGCTCTCCTACAATATCTGCTCAACAGTCATGTGAGTTCTTGAATTCTAGAGGGAACTCTAAATTCACACTGATTTTCATTTAGCTCTATCAAGCCCTTCTGGAGTTCTACATGGTGTACTCGGTTCTGCTCTCACATACATTCCAAGCCTGGTGGTAAAAGTTATTCATGACAATTGGCAGTCCCTTAACAGCAAATATCACAGCTGAGTATGGAGACAAACACCTATTAAACCAGCACTATGAAGGCTGAGGCAGGAAGATCACGTGTTTGAGACCAGCCTGGCTATACAGACTCCCATCTTAAATTAAAAAAAAAAAACAAAAAAAACACAGCAGGTGTTATACAGCCCAAAAGAATGTTGCAGGAAAAAGAATAACTGTCTGTATAGTCATCTTTTGATCTCTAGTATTCTGAAAGTTTGTAATTCTGTCAACTTGTATCAGACGTGGGGTCACAGGCAGGCAAGGTGGCTCATTGGGTAAAGTGGCTTGCTGCTGATTCTGATGACCTAAGTTTGATCCCTAGGACCTACCGACATGGTAGAAAAAGAGAACCAATTCATGTAACTTGTCCTGACCTCCACATGGGTACCATGTCATATGTGCCCCCACACACACACACACAAATTTTAAAAAGAAAAACTGGGTCACAAAGTTTCTCACCATTTTTTTTTATAATTTTGACTTAATGAGGTCCATTTTCATTAGTCAAAAAGAGAAATTCTCTTTGAGATTTGAAATAATCATGTTAAAAGTCAAGAATAATGTGAAATTGTATTAAAAACGAATCTGAAAGATAAACTTCTATAACCCTAAATGCCCTTACTTTTCATCAAAAGGAACAAAAAAGATTTCACTTTCACCATTTTTTTTTATAATTTTGACTTAATGAGGTCCATTTTCATTAGTCAAAAAGAGAAATTCTCTTTGAGATTTGAAATAATCATGTTAAAAGTCAAGAATAATGTGAAATTGTATTAAAAACGAATCTGAAAGATAAACTTCTATAACCCTAAATGCCCTTACTTTTCATCAAAAGGAACAAAAAAGATTTCACTTTTTATACATACTTCAAGGCTTGTTTCTCTTATATTTATAAACTTCAAAGCAATACAGACAGAAACCATAGAACTCCGTATACTTCATCAAAATCAGAAAAACTGATCCACATGCACATAGCTGCATAACAAAGATAGCACAATGCTAACTACAAACAGGTTGCCAGCTAAACTGAAGAACTGAGTCTAGCAGGTGTCTCTAATTTAGCCATTTCTGTATATGTGGGACCATGTAAAATGGGAACAAAAATAATTAATGCCATCACCTAGGTCACACTCTTGACACTGTGATTACAATTTTAAGCATGTATTTGGAATCCTTGCCAAATGCCAGTATGAATCACCCACTGTTGAAGTCCATTCTTTAAGGAGTACTTATGAGTAGCATTTTTACTTACTCTGGTCAGCATAGTTTTTTGCTTTGAGTTCAAGTTGTCTTGTTTGAGATTCTAGAGATTCCACTCGAGTCTGTAAATCCTTTTTTTCCTGTTCTTGAGAATCTTCAAATTCAATGAATTTCTGATAAAGAAGAACAATACACATTTTCATCAGAGAAAAAATCTTTTTTCATATTTTCAACTCCTATACTTTTTTGGTATCAAAAATAACAAGGGTTGGCAAGATGGCTCAGCAGATAAAGGTGCCTTCCACCAATCCAATCCTGACAACACAAGTTTGATCTCCAGGACATGGTAGGAGAGAACCCTGACCCTCACATCCATGCTGAGACATGTGCCCCCCCATACAGAAATTTTTCAAAAATATATTTTAAAAAACAAGTAGCGGGCTGGAGAGATGTCTCAGTGGTTAAGAACACTGGTTGTTCTTGCAGAAGACTCAGGTTCGAATCCCAGCACCCACATGGCAGCTAACAACAGTCCGTAACTCCAGTTCCATGGGCTCTGACGGCCTCTTCTGTCCTCCTTGGGCATTGCACGACACGGGTGCACTTACCTACATTCAGGCAATACACGCATACACATGAAATAAAAAATAAAATATTTAAAAAAAAAAAAAAAGGCCGGGCATGGTGGCATACACCTTTAATCCCAGCACTTGGGGGGCGGAGGCAGAGGCAGAGGCAGGCGGATCTCCATGAGGTCAAAGCCAGCCCGGGGGGTACAAAGGGATTCAGGGGCGCTGGGGGGGCAGGGCGGCGCCCCCCAAAAAAACGGGGGGAAAGAAAAAAAAAAAACAAGTAGCAACAAAAAAGAGGTCTACAAGTCATAAAATTTGGTTGATTTTAAGTTTTTCTATGAAAATTGTATTTAAAAACCTCCAAATACAGAAGTAAAAATATAACAAAATATGTTTAGTAAGGTGTTTTCATTTTACATAATAGACATTCTAAAGGGATATATATCCCATTATAATAAATCTTTTAGTATACTTACATATTCATCTTAAGTTGAGAATAATTACTTAATCAATAATATGTACAAGACAAAAGAATGATGAAATAATATGCTGTGATTATTTGATTAGTAAGAGATCTTAAGGCTGGGGATAGATTAATATGGATAATCCCTGTGTTCCTTGAAATACTCTTCTTTATTCATTTGGCTTCCAGTATTTTTCTTTGTTTGCCTTGCTTTTTCTAGCTGTTCTTTCTTGGTCCTCTTTGCTGACAACTCCTCCCCAACTTCACACTGAAGTACTCAGTCCTTGGACACTTTTCCTTCCTAATTTTTGTCAGTTTCTTTTTTAAAAAAAATTAAAAGTGTATTAGTGTATGGGGGCTTGAGAGATGCTTCAGCAGTTAAGAGCACCGAGTGCTCTTGCAGAGGATTTAGGTTTGGTTCCTAGTACCCACATGGCTGCTCACAACCATCTACAACTCCAACAAATCCCATGTCCTCTTCTGGCCTCTGTGGACACCAAGTACACACATGGTACACATATATACATGCAGGCAAAACACAAATAACAATAAAAATAAATTTTTAGTGTCTATGTGCAAGCATTTATAGGAATGCATGCCACACAGTGCACACGTGGCAGTCAGAGGTCATCTTTGTGGAGTCTGTTCTTTCCTTCCACATTTACCCAGCATCCAGGGATTAATCTTAGGTCTCCAAACTTGCATCATTGGGTGGCAACACCTTTATCTGCTGGCCAGCCTTGTTTGTTTCATACACAGAGCCTTACTATGTTGCCCAGGCTAGCCTTAAACTCACAATCTCCTGCCTCAGCCTCCCAAGTAGATGGGATTACAACCTGTGCCAGAACTGGCTTCCTTTGTTTACTCTGTGTGTGTGTGTGTGTGTGTGTGTGTGTGTGTGTGCATGCTACGTATGTGTTCATGTATGTGAAGGCAGGTGTACATGTAGAGGTCAGAAGACTAATCTCAGGTGTTAGTCCCTGCCTTCCACCTTGTTTGGGACAGGTCTCTTTGTTGTTCATTGCTGTGTATGACAGTGTAGCTGGTCAATGAGCTTCCAAGGATTCTCTTGTCTCTGCCTTTCATCTCACTATAGAAACATAGGGATTATCAATGTGCATTATCATGCCCAGCTTGATGTGGGTTCTCGGGATTCAAGCTCACATCCTTACACTTGTGTAGCAAGCCCTTTACCACCGAGCCATGTCCCTGTCCCTCCTTGCTACCCTCCTTTGGTGATCTTATCTATTTTCCTAACTTTAAATAATAATTTATGTTGGAAGCTTCCAAATTTTGATCTCTAGACCTGAACTTCAGATTTGTATGTCCCACAGCCTACTTCCTGGACAATTTCATCTGGGTTCTAATAAACACCTTTAACTTAGAGTCTCAAAAACCTGCTCCTCTCTCTGGTTCATGAAATAATTGCCATCATTTTATTCATGCCCTAAACTTTGGAGTGAGCTTTGACTCTTTCCTTCTTCTAATACCTTGTATCAGATCCATCAGCAAATAAACCTCAGGTCTGACAGCTTTTCATCATCTCCATCACCACCCTGATCTGTGCCACCATTAGCTTTTTCTTTTTTTTGAGACAGGTTCTTCCTACAGCCCCAACTGGCCTGGAGCTCACTATGAGATCTGGCTGGTATTAAACTCACAAAGATCCGCCTGCCTCTGCCTCCCCAGTGCTGGGATTAAAGGCGTGCGCCACCACGCCCGGCATCTGTGCCACCATTAGCTATTGCTTGGAATATGGCTATAGCATTCACCTCCTAAATGGGCCAATCCTCTATAATGAATGCATAATGGCCAGGGAAATCCTTTCAACATAAGCCAGATTTTTCTCCTCTGCTCAAGACCTTCTGATACTTTAAGTTGTTTACTATAGTCCTTTCTATGGGCCTTCCAGGGTCTACAATATCCATTCCCACCATCCTCTTACTTGTTTGATATCATCTTCTTTTACTTACTTTTTTTTTATAAATTCAGAATTTTTAAATTTTTATTTATTATTTTTATTTTAAATGTATGCAAGTATTGCCTGCATGTAGGTAAGTGCACCCGTGTGGTGCAATGCCCGCGGAGGACAGAAGAGGCTATTGGATACCCTGGGACTGGAGTTACAGACAGTTGTTAGCTGCCATGTGGGTGCTGGGATTCGAACCGGGTTTTCTGCAAGAACAACCAGTGTTCTTAACCGCTGAGCCATCTCTCCAGCCCCATTACCCACTTTCTCCACGGCTTCCTGTGACTCCTTGCAAGTCTCCCAGCATGTTGAGGCTTTAGAGGCAAGCCTTTGCACTTGCTTCCTACTGTTGGAAGTCTTTAACCCAGATAACCAAATGGCTCGCTCCCTCTTCACTTTCCTTCATGTCTTTATTTAAATACCATCTTCTTTTTAAAATAATTTTTGAGAATTTCATACATGAGCACTATGTTTATATAATTTCCAACCCTTTCTCCCCATGTATTTGTATAACCTACTGATTCCATTTAGTGCTTATATGTATATGTGTTAAGGACTGATCATTTGGGATTAAATATCTTATCAAGGAGCTCATCCTTGGAGAGGACTGATTCTCCTTCTCAGCAGCAACTGATTGCCTGTGGCTTTATTTTGGACTTTCTGAGACAGGATTTCCTTGTAGCCCCAACAGGCCTGGAACTCACTCTGTAGACCAGGCTGGCCTCGAACTCACAAAGATCTGCCTGCCTCTGCCTCCCAAGTGCTGGGATTAAAGGTGTGCACCACTGTGCCAGGCTTGCTTGTAGCTCTTTATCTAGAGGTGGAACCTTAAATTTTTCCCCATCCATGAGACCTTACTCATTTTCCTATCTCTGCCTCTTCCTCCCCTTGATTATTTTTTTCCCTGGAGCACTTATCCATATCCAGCATGCTAAATATTTTAGTAGTTTACCTTATTTACTATGTGCCTATCCTCACCACAGTGTAGGCTCCATGAAGGCAAGGATTTTGGTTTTACTTACTGTCAATAACCACAGTTGGAAAAGTGATGACATGCTCTAAATATGTGAAACAAATTAATAACAAAAGTTTTACAGTAAAAAATAAAACTTATGTAGAATGTATAAATTACAAAAAGAAACCTTATGTTTCACTAGAGAGTAATATAGCCCAGTGATACAGCACTTGCCTAGCATTCCTCTGCCTCACCAGTGTTGGGACTAGAGGTGTGCACCACCATGCCCAACCAACACACTACTTTTAACGTGCACTTTTTAATCCATTACCTACTTTATTAGTCCTTGAACTTTTTCTTTTACTCACAGAGATCCGCCTGCCTCGGCCTCCCAAGTGCTGGGATTAAAGGAGTGCCACCACGCCCAGCTCCAACCTCAGAAGACACTGCTTTCTGTCTGTACATACTGCCTTCTTATGGGAAAAATCCCTCTCCCTGTTTCATGCTAATTCTCTTCAGTCCATGTAACTTGACTGGTGTTGACTCCATCTCTCTAGGGAGAGATCAACCAGACTACTCAGAGTTCTTTCTGGGACATTTGCCAACTATTATGAAAAATATTACCTGCTTTAAAAAAAAAAGGTATTAATTATTATTATTGTGTGTATATGAATGATGTGATAGAGAGGGGCCTCATGTGTGTCAAAACATGCATGTGGAAGTCAGAGAACAACTTTGTAGAGTTGGTTTTCTCCTTCCACCTTTACGTGGGTTCCGGGGATCAAATTCTGGTTGCCAGGCTTATACAGCAAGTAGTTTTCCTCAATAAACCATTTTCCATCTTGCCAACACCACGGTTCTTTTTTTTTTTTTAATTGTAGCCCTGGCTGGCTTGGAAATTCCAGAGATCCACCTGCCTCTGGCTACAAGTGCTGGGCTTAAAGGTATGAGTCACCATGCCTGGCACTGTAGCTTCTTTATTATAATTTGCACATAAACAGTATTTTTGTCCAAAGTAAATAGCATTTTAGAAGCTTTATCCTAGTCACTTTTTTGTGGGGGTAGTATTTCTGGTTTTTTTAATTATTATTTTTATTTTATGTGTATGCATGTATTGCTTGCATGTAGGTAAGTGCACCGTGTTGTGTAATGCCCGTGAAGGTCAGAAGAGGCTGTCGGATCCCCTGGGACTGGAGTTATGGACAGTTGTTAGC